ATTTTATGTCATGGAACATCTTTAGAAATATCTATAAAAAATTTAAGAAAAAGAAAATGATTCGATCGAGAATTTTACATTCATATATATAATTTGTGAAAATTATTGGCATCTCAATTAACAGCATAATAATACAAAATTACAATGTTCTTTGTAAATATCTAAAATTATCTCGATAAATATTGTGATTCTGGATTTTTACACTCGAAATATTCCGTACGCGCATTACTTAAAATGCTCGATATCCTTGGAAATGAAATATTGAAATTGCTTTTGTCGAAAGATGGTTTCGTAACGATCGATTATCCAATACACGTTTACTTAATGGTCTCCGAAGAAAATTATACGACGCGCGCTAAAAATGTCATCGACGAATAATTCGAAGATAAATATTTCGATTATGATTACCTTTCTGCCGTAAGCGCATCATTCCAAGTCATGCAAGTTATCTAATGATTATGAAGAGAATAAGAAAAAGAAAGAGAAATGCGTCGGAATCTTACTTGGCGCGACACCGGTTTCCGCTAAGATAATTTATCGCAAGAATATTTTTCAAACATTTCCTTCGTAGCGATCATTAACCGTACTGTCGTAATTATCATATCATGCATTTGTTATCGCTAACTTGAACACTGAATCGACTTCACTTTAATTTGTCTATCTATTTTTCTTTTTTAAATTGAAAGTGGTGATTTTATAGCAACAACGATTAACGATTCATTCCAAGGATTGCCGGAAATTTTATAGAAAATATTTTTTTTGAAATATTAATAAATTTTTCAACCATTACACGCAATAATTTATACGCTTTTAAAATATATATGTAATTTATGTGTTTGATAAGTTAGGAATTAGTTCTCATTTGAACTAAAATAATTTTATTTGCATGTTAAAAATTAAGAAAATGCTAATCTACGTACGCATATATTTCACAAAAAAAAATATATAATTATAATATCAAATAGCGTATAAGATGCAAATTAATTCGTTTCGTATTTTACTATATTTCATTTTTATTAAGCTCATAAAAATGATGATAAAAGATAAATATTTAAATAATTATGATAATATCAAAAACAATGATACGATTCAATCAACAATTACTGACAAACAACGCGCAAACCATTACGATCAGAACAATTGTAGAATCTTCCAATTTGTAGAATCAAAATTCAATTGCAAAACAATTTAGAAGATTTGAATAGTATTAACGAATAGCATGATCATCATTGGAAATAATGAAACGACATAAACAGTACAATAACGCACACGCAACGAAAGCATTATACTCAAATGTCCACAATTGATATACATAATACCAAATGATTCATCATAAATAATCAACCGTAATACTATAAAGTTTGCGTGAAAAACACAAAACAATGAAATATAAACAAGAAACTAAATTCAGAACACAGAATGTACTAACACATACACGCACGTGCACATATAGATGATCATCACAAGCACACGTGAGAACAATTGTAAGATGGCTCCATCAAATCTTCTTGATATTGAAACGAAAAGTCGGCGGAATTTCTGACAATTTACATACCACTGTTGGTATCCAATCCGCAGTTGCATCGCGAGTTGGACAACAATCGTTTAACAATACGTGAAAAACAATAGAAAAACGATTAAACTGAAATCGCGGCAGAGAAAAGGTAACCGCGGCGACACGGCGGCCATGTTGATTTCTCGCCCCACCCGATTGGTCGCGGCCGCTTAGAGTATACACGATCGTTGCGCCACATCGTGGAAAGGAACGCCGTCCACAGTTACAGGCTCGCGCGTTCTGGCATCGACCGGTTTTCATATTCGTGTACTGTGCTAGACTCCCATCCCAGCATGCTCTTCCTTGGATTCTGGCGAGTCGCCATATTGCCATGACACAAGTTTGAGTCAAATCTGCGCAGGTCAGATGCCGCGGAAGCTACCTTTGCCTCGGATACACCCACGTCGCGTATTTAAGAATTAAATTTACCTTGCCAATATATTTTTCTATGATCGATTCGTCACCTGACGGAGCTTTAAGTGCGTGATTACTAATATATCGAGTGCTACATGTACATTTAGCTTGGGAATGTTTTATTCTTCGAAGGAAAGCACGTGGATGCGTGATTCTAGGTACGTTTCTACGTTGTATATAGATGAACATGACAGCGTGTGTGTGCATGTGCTAGAGAATAGAATATATAAAGAGAATAGAGTGCGAGTTGCGACTACAATGGCGACGATAAAGTAAATATATAAAGAAAATCGAAACATAACGAAAAATCGCTTCGCAGTTTCAATATCATCCTGTTTCACGTGTATGTGTATGATGTAGTTTTAAGGGAAAGCTTGTCATCATGGCAGTACGCCTGCGTTTCTGACTCATATACACGTACATACCTATACGCGTTTAGTAATACAGACATGTTTGTGCTTGCGCGGTAAACCGTTAACGTTTATGAAGTGTTTATAAAAAGTTTGATAAACGTACTATTCATCGGTAGAGGGAAATGTATTATAATGAAAATATGAAGTCCGGTTAACGAAACAAAAACAACTTACTTGCATCAAACTATATGTGATTTTAATACGTGTTGAAATAATTATGAACTGAATTATTACTGGGAAAATTTCGATTATTAAAGAATGTTCCGAATTCTCCATAAAATACAATTATCTGAATTATTAATGAGATTTGTATAAAATATTTAATAGGATGAAATTTATGGATTGGAATAATTCCAACGAATGTTTCACGATCAAATTCCTCATTAACATCAAACGTGATGCGTTTTCTAAATCCTGTTGGCTGTCTTGTATCAACAAAGTGTTGCACATACAGTGGCCACAGACGGATCTAGAATCATAAATAAATCGTCCGGAAACGATACCACCACACGGTATCAACTCGAGTAAAAAAAACAAGTGGGTCCAAGCAACGCCACATGTTGAAAATAAGTCATCATCTAGAAGAATTTTTTCTTTTTTTCTTCTCCAAGTGGAGAACCCGAAATATACATCGGCCTCCTTTATGTTATCACGACTTAAAAAAAAGAAAAAGAAAATAAATCGTATCAAGTTGGATAATAACTCGTATCAAAAAGTTCGTGAAACGAAACTTTTGCAATTATCCCTGGTGCTTTTATAAAAATGGGTAAAAATTACTTCGAGAAGACCGATATAACTCCCAATGTGTTTTCCAAGCGCAATAACTACATCATACATTTTTTTCACCACTCATTCGCGTATTCATCTTTATTCTCCATACGATCAAAATTTTTTTTCGTTTGTTTGTTCATCTATAATCGCGAGGTTCTAACTTTTCAGTACAAGCGTACCAATTGTACAAGAACGCGATATATCTCATCATGATTACTCAACATTCGAAAAACTTTCCTATTCCCCTAAGTATACCTCTTCTCTCCGATTCCAAGATGCTGTCTTGTCCTCAGAAACTGGTGTTAGCAATAGCCTGCCAGTATCCGTATACCGCGAACGAAAACCACCGGATAGTTTCGCGGTGGAACTAATTTACGCGAAGTCGAGCAATAAACATCGCGTCTCTCGCTAGAGAATACCGGCGGACGCGCACACGGACGAACGAACGAACGAACGAACGAAGCTCGAGGAGCAACAGAGCGAGAGGGAAAAGCGACAAAGTGCGTTCGTGTGTACGAACGAGAAGCATACGCACGTAGGGCGCAACAGTAGCCGTAGCGCCGGTTAATTAGGGTTTAAGTTTATGAGGTGCAGGCGCGCACGCCCTACCCCCGCCTCCCCCATTCCACCTCTCGCCACCCCCACTGACTCACTCCCTCCACCAACTGCCACGGTCTCTGTCGTTCCCGTAGAAACGGCTCTGCCCGTTTCTCTGTCTGCTACACCCCCACGAGCCCTCATCCCCTTTGCGCGCGATTCACCAAACCACCACCAGCGCCTGCAACATCGTCCTTTGCATTCTACGCGCATACATATGCTTACACGGGGAGGGATTAATATGTGCGTGTGCACACGAGGATATCAAACTTCACACGCGAGAGCAATAACAAATGTTGGACGTTCACAGCTTCACAGGTTTATCGCCGTTACCGCCGATTTACGCGTGGCCGTGATAAAAACAAAAAAAAAAAAAAGAAAGAAAGAGAGGGAGAAGAGAGCAGATCGAAATAACGGCAGCCGGCTACCGAAAGGATGGTGATTACCGTCGCCTAAATGAAAAACCCGATACATTATGGGATTTTCAACGAGAACGGAGGAAACCTATGCTATCTCATGTTTCGAAAGATTCGTTTTCTCTTCAATCTCTAAAGATCAGTTTTTTGCAATTTATGTCATTAGTTTTTATCAATTATTAAAATATAATAATTAAAGATTGTGAAAGTTTAAGATGAAACGAAACGGAAGGGAAGAATTTCATCAATGTCAGGAAATTTCGAACTGTCGATAAAGAAATATTTGGTGAAAGTGATGTCAAAGCGTTTCTCGAGAAGAGTTAATGGTACGATTAAAGACATGATACTGTTGAGTATCGGCCATATGTAGCCAATATATTTTGAGACAATAACTTCTGTTTCTCGAGTCACTGTCGCTTTTTTTCTTTCTGCTACTTTCTTTTCCTTTTTTGTTACAATGCAGACAGATCCATTAAAATCGTCGAAAACAAGATTTATATAATATCTCACAAATAATTGTCTGAGAAGGAATTTAAAAATTCACCGATCTTCAAATTCGTAAGTACTATTATTTTTCAACAATTATTATTTTATACGATATTTTATAGACTTGAGCCTGAAGCGATGCATTCGGAAAACGATGAGCAAAAATCTTTATACAAGAACTAATTTATTATCGGATAAAATTATATCTTGGCCAATTAATGACATAATCGAAGTGAAATCCGGGATGTGCGTTAGCAAAATAGGCGATCGGTAATCCCGTTATTAACTTTACTTCGTTCACAATATTAGATATTAATTCCACACGGTACGCTTGATATAAATTGGTCTCGAATTAAGATACTTTGTCGTATCACCCCATTTGGGATTATTTTTATTATATTACGCACGTTTGTTGAAATCGTAGGCAGTTTTTTGGCTCATCTTACTACTTCACGCGTTATTTCGGTAAAATTATCATAATACATTTCTAGAGTGGAATTGCCGACGCCATATATTGCTCGTTCGCGATTGTATCGTCCGCCATCTACCGTCACAGCTCGGATCAAGCGGATAGTGCGTTGACCGAACTGAAGTTGGCACAGTGTTAAGCGTTTCTTTTTCAACATTTCAACATGGTGCGCGATACTATCGCTCACGTCTCTGTCTGCTCAAGATATCAGAATCACGACCGTCCGCGCACATTACTCGCCGTTAATTACGTCCACCGGTATACATGTGCACCGAAAAAGATCTCGCATTTCGACTCGGTCTGAAACTCGGCAAACAACCGGCTCAACAACATGGCCGTTGTTACGTTAATCGCGATTTCGCCTTCATGAGTCTACGCGAAACATATACATTATATCCTTCGTTAACCTCGTATGTTTAATTATAACAGGAAACACGAACGTTCGAACGTCTCCTGGCATTCGATAATTCGATTGTACCGACGAGTTCCGTACCCATGAATAATCGAACGACAGAATAACGTACGCGGAACCGGTGTGAGCGGTTCAACAGTTGGAAGGTAGGTAAAAATTGAGTCCTCGAGAGGATCGCGTGTCATGTCACGGTTATTCTATTATTTATCCGATACGATGCGAGCGAATGCTCGCCAGAAGGTGTCGTCAACAGCTCATAAAATCGGATCGGGTTGGATGCGGGCGTTATCAATCTCGTTCAGTCTTGGAAAGGGGATTCGGCGTGTTCGCGTGCTACGGACGATATCAGCCGGAAATCTCCTGTCGCAGGTTGGTCTCGCGCGAAACCTTGCATCGCGTGTTGCCATGCTACTGCAGTCGGACAAAAACCAACCAGAGATAAGGCCACCTCTTGGAAGAAGGGCTCGAAATGGGGAGGAGGTGGAGCGGTTTCGGTGCACGAGAGAAAGGGAAAAGAAAACTAGCGGCACCGTGATACGGCCAGCTTTCGAATAAGCCCGACTGCAAACGAGTCCACCGCTCGACGAAATTCGCGGGGGCCGTACCCACTTTCGTGATCTCTCGCGATATTCTTCGGCTTCCACGTTGCACACGTTTATGCAGATATCCAATGCACACATATATCCGGGCGGCACGCCGCGGAGAGGCGTGCGCAAAAACTCGCGTGGGAATGCAAAAATTCACTCGATCTACCGAGGTGCGCCGAACCACAGTCTGTTCGGTAAGAAGGAGTTCTTGTGTTACATCAGATAAGAGTCGGCCACCGAAAAAAAAAAAAAAAAAAAAAAAAAAA